GCCTCCTTCCAAGAGGTTGAATCGCTAGACAACATAGCTTCCTTGAATGTTTGAGGGTCACTTTCAAGAAGGAATGTTACAAAATCATATCCAAATGAAGTAGATGTCCTCTACGTTTACTGCACCTTGGACTCTCTTCATTAGGTTCATTCTCTTTTGGTTCTTCTCGAGGTCGTTTAGACCTCCCACAAGATGACTCAAGTCTAGTTTTATACGGATAGATATGTTCAAAGAATTCAGTATTATCTGATTCCATTACCGTATTGTCATGAATATTCAGATGTTCGAACTTATGAACCAAAAATAGACACGCCTTACTATTTGGGGCATATCCAATGAAAACACAGTCCACAGTCTTAGGTCATATTTTCATCCTTTTAGGTATAGGAACCTGGACTTTGGCTAGACAACCTCACACTTTGAAATATTTCTAGTTGGGTTATCTACCTTTTCATTTCTCATATGGAATAACATGTGTCTAGCTATGAGGCACTGTATTGAGTATTCGATATGTTGTAAGGATAGCTTCCCCCCACAAGTTTTGTGGTAAACATAAACTTAAAAATAAGCATTCATCATTTCCTTTAAAGTTTTGTTTTTTCCTTTCCACAATTCCATTAGATTGAGGAGAGTAAGGAACAGTAGTTTGATGGATAATTCCATTTTCCAAACATATTTCTGCAAATGGAGATTCATATTCTCCACCTTTATCACTTTTGATCATTTTGATCTTTTTATCCAACTGATTTTCAACTTCAGTTTTATATTGCCTAAATGCATCTATTGCTTCATCCTTACCATTTAGCAAATAAACATAATAATATCTTGTTCAATCGTCAATAAAAGTTATGAAATAATTTTTCCACCATGTGTTGGTGTTGACTTCATGTCACAAATGTCAGTGTGAATCAGTTCTAAGGGATATGAATTCCATTCAACAGACTTATAAGGATGCTTAGCATACTTAGATTCAATGCAAACTTGACATTTTGATTTATTGCACTCAAATTTAGGCAAAACATCTATGTTAATCAGTTTTCGCAAGGTTTTGTTAATAATGTGTCCCAAACGTTCATGCCATAAACATTTAGACTCAAGCAAGTAAGAAAAAGTAGAATCTTTATTCATATCAACTACAATTACATTGAGTTTGAAGAGGCCCTCAATGAGGTAACCTTTTCCTATATACATCTCATTCTTACTTACTACAACTTTATCATAAAAAAATACACATTTGAATCCTTTCTTGGTAAGAAATGATATAGAAACTAAGCTTTTTCGCAATTCTGGAACATACAAGACCCTGTTCAAAGTCACCACCTTGCCCGATTTCATCTTAAAAAGGACCTTGCCTGTTCCTTCAACCTTTGTTGCAGCGGAGTTCACCATAAATATCTTCTCGTCTACTGGTGTTGGAGTATATGATGCAAATAATTCTTTGTTGGCACAAACATAGCATGAGACACCAGAATCTATCCAGCATTCTCTTTGATTTCCAACCAAGTTGCATTCTGAAAGGATTGCACAAAGACCATCCATCTCTTCTTTGGATTCAGCCAAATTTGCTTGATCTTTCTTCTTGTCCTTCTTGGGACCCCGACATTCTGTAGCCCTATGACCACGTTTGTCACAATTGAAGCAGTTTCCATTGAATTTCTTGTTAGGAGGATTGCTCTTTGGACCAGATGTTTTCTTTCTTTTCTTTGATTTTGTGGGATCTTCTTCAGCAATATTAACTCCAGATATTGCTGAATAACCACGCGGCCTCTTTTCTGCGGCCTTGTTATCCTCTTCGATTCTCAGCCTTACCATGAGATCTTCAACATTCATCTTCTTACGTTTATGTTTCAAGTAGTTTTGTGAAGTCCTTCCACAACGGAGGTAACTTCTCAATAATTGCCGCCACTTGAAAAGCATCATTCACAATCAATCCTACATTAAAGATTATGTGAGTATTAAGAATAGACTTAATATGTTCAACATAGGAATTAAATAAATTTATACCTTCAGCATGGAGATCATGGATTATGACCTGCATTTCTTAAACTTGGGTGACGATGGTCTTATTGTCTATCATCTTATGGTCCAAAAACTTTGCCACAATAAACTTCTTATTTCCGGCATCCTCTGTTTTGTACTTCTTTTCTAAAGCATCCCAGAGTTCTTTTGAGGTCCTGACACTATTGTACACATTGTAAGATCATCTTGCAGGACACTCAGAATATAGTTTTTACGCAAAAAATCTTTATGTGTCCATGCTTCTATCACCAAGAATCGTTCTTCGGCCAGAGTTTCATCCGACATAACATGAACGTTCTCATTAATGAACCTTTGCAGACTCAACGTTGTCAGATAGAAGAACACCTTCTACTGCCATCTTTTGAAGTCAACTCCAGAAAACTTTGCAGGTTTCTCAGCCGGTGCAAGGGCAGCAGTTGAACCATTGTGTGCAACCGATCTTGTTGCAACACTCACTGTTCCAACATTTACTTGACTTGAACTTGTCATTTTTTTGTCACAAATGGCAATCAATTTTTGTATGTGAAATACTAACAGTAAAGAATAAATCCTTACACAACTTTTTTCGGATTTAACAATAAAGTTTTTATGTTCCTTTAATCGTTAATCGAATGAATTTTTAAAATTCAAACAGAGTAGAAAACCATAAAGGTTTTAATCTCCAGAAACCTCAAATACAGAAACTATTAAATTTATTAAGATTGTTATCTCATGTATTCAGGTTAGTCAAAAAACAGAAACAGAAAAAAGATGAAACAGACAGACAGAAAAATAAAATCCGAGTCCACAAAATCCTCTATGTTTCCTTAAGAAATTTAATCCCCTCAAGTACCCGAGGCTACAAATTAATTCCTCCAAGATAAAATGGACTAACTTTTAGAGAAGTAGCGGTACATCAAATTTGATTAATTTCAGCGAACGCAAGAACAACAATGAGAGCACACACAGACTCAGTCGATCGACAATTTTGTTTTTGTAAGAAAATGTATGCAGAGAGTAAAAAATTTCAGTGTTCAAAAATGGAAAAAGACTCTATTTATAACCATTTGCAGCAAGGAACGCGTCTGTTCAGACAAATCTATTCAGACATGTCTTTCAAGAACGTAGTGACTTTTTGGGGAAAATAACATCTTTTTGAAAGGAACAGATCCATTCAAATGAATTTACCGTTACGTACAAATTTCAAATAATTTCTTTACGCGAAATTAATTATGTTAATTAACTAACATTTTGAATTAATTTATGAGAGAAAGGAAATCAATTAATGAGATTGATTAAATAAATTTTGTCCAAAAATATTATCAATCACATCATTTGCCAAATCCAAATCCGAAGCTGAAGCCAAAGCAGAGGCCGAGCGAGCGACGACGACGGCGCGAGGGGCACCTTCTTATTAACTCTTTAAGAACTAAAGGAAGTGTTTCCTAATATAAGGACAACAATTTTCATTTCTTCTACCAATATCGGAGAAATGATTTTTAATCTTCAAAGAATGACTTTTCATTTTTCCCTCCAAATTGGTTCCCCCACATTTTCCATTTTCTCTTCTTATTTCCCATTCACACCTTGATAAAACCCAACAATCCCCCACATAAATGTGGAATGACTATTGTTAAAACATATGCATGAAAAACTTGTGTGTCTTGTAAGTAAGGGTTAATCGCATTTGGATAAGTAGGTTTCCCTTTAGCAAGTAACCTTTTATGTGTTAGTCAAATGATGTCTAAAGGCTATTTCTTTTTTTTAAGGGCAAACATTGGTTGTTGACTCTGAAGATACTTTGATTGTTAAAGTAGAAATGGTGGATAAAACTTTTCCTTTAGGGCGAGAAGTTTGATACTGCAAATTTTTCAAGTATGGATGAGTCATGATTGTGGCACAAAAGATATAGGCATTTTTAACTATGCTACTTTAAAGTCTATGTATGAAAAATGGTTGACTATGGATTTATTGAGATCTCACTGTAAAATTTGTGAGTCATGCCAGATGGGTAAGGTACACAGTAAAGTATTTCCTAAAAGTGCTACCTGGAGGGCAACTGAAAAACTTGAATTACTTTACACTGATGTGTGTGGACATATGCAGACATCATCTTTGGGACAAAATAAATATTTTATGCTCTTTATTGATGACTTAAAAAGGATGACTTGGGCGTATTTTAACAAGTCTCAAGTATTTTCAGTTTTTGAGAAATTTAAAGCTTTTGTTGAAAGACAAAGTGGTTGTAAGCTGAAGTCTTTGAGGTCGGACAATGGTGGTGAATAAACTTAAAATGAGTTCAATAAGTAATGTGAAGATATGGGGATTGATCACAAGTTACCATAAACTATTCACCTGAATAAAATGGAGTCTTAGAGAGGAAGAACAAGATTGTTGTTGAAATCACTAGATGTTTGTTGCTTGAAATGAAACTACCACAAAGCTTTTGGGAAGAAGTTATTTATACTAAATCTATGGATGGAAAAACTCCTATTAAGGCATGGAGTGGAATAAGACCATCTGCAAAGTGATAGAAAAGTACAATAATGTAGATAGAGTAGAGTAGAGGCAGTATGTTAAAAAGAAATTTCTTGGCGTTGTATTTTTCACTGTTGCGGCAATCCTTTTATAAAACAAATACATAGGAAAAACTGAAGCTTAAATATAGGAACTACTACACCAAGATTTTCTCCTAAATACTTGATAACAACCCACATTTAAAACTACTTCCTAAAGACTAGGAAAAACATAACGATAGACATTTTATTCCTAACGTGACTTATTAAAACTAACACGCTCCCTTAAACTAAAAGCTTTCAAGCTTCAATTTAACTTCATGATCTTGAACTCTTTCATAGTGCCGATACCCATCAGCCTTCTCAGATTTTGGAAAGTGAGAAACTTCAGAAGTTTAGTAAAAATGTCCGCCAACTGATCTTGACTTCGGCATTACTCTAGCTCTATTGTTCCTTCATTATTGAGATCTCGCAAGAAATAATACGTCACATCAATGTGCTTCCATATAACACATGATATTTTGATAGCTTGATAGCAGATTTGTTGTCACAGAAAATTGTAGTTGCTTTGTCTTGTTTGAATTGTAGTTCGTCAAGAATCCTCCTCACCCAGATAGCTTGGAAAGCACAAGTTGTAGCAACAACAAATTCCGCTTTAGTACTAGATAAAGTGACAATTTTTTGCTTCCTGGAAAATAGTAAAACAACTGTTGTTCCTAGTAAATAAACATAGCCTAAAGTACTCTTTCTGTCGTCTTGATCTCCTGCGTAATCGCTGTCAGCAAAACCAATCAAATCAGATTTTTCACCCTTCTTGTAAAATAAACCAAAATCTTTAGTTCCTTGTAAGTAGCGAAGGGTTCTTTTGGTAGCTAGCAGGTGCAATTTTGTCGGGCTCTCCATATACATGCTTATAAGACTTACATCATACATGATGTCGGGACTTGTGGCAGTAAGATACATCAAACTACCTACAATCTGCCTGTAGAGTGTGCTGTCTACCTTATTTCCTCTTCCAGCTTTGTTTAGCTTCAGGCCAAACTCAACTGGAGTATCGGCGGGATTAATACAATTCTTCATCTTGAATCGGTCTAAAATTTCTCGCACATATTTCTTTTGGGAAATAAATATCGCGTCATCGGATTACACTACTTCTAAACCAAGAAAATAATGCATCTTATCAAGATCCGACATCTCAAATTCAACCTTCATAGATCTCTTAAAATAAAAAACATGGCACTATCATTCCCAGTAAATATAAGATCATCAATGGTTTTTTTAGTAAGTAAATATTTTATTTACCAAAGTGAGCAATTCAGAATAACCAACCAGCAGGCTTGGACACGAAACCCCAAGCTCTACCAAGCATTACATTTTAATAACTATCCCTATGCATTTAGGGATATGCATTGAGTTGTTGTAGTCTACTTCTTAATCTAGCATGTTGAGATCCTCTTTTTATTTTAAAAAATTTTGCAGTTGCGTTCCATCTACAAGCAGTAAATGGTTCCAGCCAAAGTCATCTTATACACTTGTGCTACACGATTTCGACCCTTCAAGTATGTGAGTGCCCATTGAACTTCTTCATGCCATTTTAGAACAAGTCTGTGTATTCCTTGCCATGCTAACAACTTGGTCCATACTCTTGCATTGAATGAACAATCAAAGATTAGGTGATGGATATTTGTTTAATGCAATATATAATGGATATTTGTTTAATGCAATACTATATATATATATATATATATATATATATATATATATATATACTCCTTTTTGCCCATAATAACTATGTATCCATTTCACCCACAACTTCTCCTTCTTTTTGCAAAGATTCCACAATAGTTTCCCAATTGCAACATTGTTCCTTGTGTAAACTTCCAGAAAATTCATACCTCCGCAATCTTTTGGCCAACATAACTTCTCCTAGGAAATAAGTGTTTTTTTAAAAAATCTCAACATTCCCTATCCACAGAAACCTTCTACAAATACTTTCAACAGCATGCAGGATCTTCTTAGGAAAGGCAAACATTTGTGCCCAGAATATCTGAATGGTAAACAAAACATTCTTAACCAATTGTGCCCTTCCAGCATAGGATAGAAATTTGGTAGTCCAGCTATTGACTTTAGTCAACATCTTGTCTATCAGAGGCTTCCATTGAACTATATAAATTCGCTTAGTACTCAAGGGTACCCCCAAGTATCTAAAAGGCAGTTGTCCCTTGAATCCTCCAAAATAAACACCACTTTTATTTACATTTGCCACCAGTCCTGAAGCCTTTTAGAAGAACAGAAAGCATTTGTGTAGACAACTCACATACTTTATATCTCCCCTACATAACATCAACATATAAACACACTATGAGTATTTTCCCAAATTCTTCAATCTTAACAAAATATATGTTCATATGGACATTTCACGAAACCAAATTTTAGAAAGTAAGCCTCAATGTGACTATACCTAGCTCGCGGAGCTTGTTTTAGTAGGAAAGTTTATTTGATATCCAACTGAAAGATAGGCCACAAATTTTGTGCCACCGAGGCAATTACCATTTTAATTGTGTCATGCCTTGCAACTGGAGCAAAAACATCAGTATATTCCACACCATACTCCTGTTTATATCCATTAGCTACCAATCGCGCCTTATACTTGTTGATTTCACTATATTCTTTCTGTTTCAACTTACAAACCCACTTGAATCCAATGGTTTTGTGCCCTTTTTGAATATATGTCAACTGTCGGGTGTTATTTCTTTCAATAACATCAATCTCATCATCCATAGCTTTCCTCCATTTTTCCTTTTTGGCAGCATTCTCAAAAGTTGTAGGATCGCAATCTGCAAACAATGCAAAGTGGGAAACATCTTCATTAACAAGAATTCATGTTACCTTATAATCCATCATTCATGTGGGACTTCTGCAAGCACGACGAAGAGGTTGATCAGGTGCATCAATTTCTTCCAAAACTTGTGGTGAAATTTCATCACATGCTTCAATAGAAATTTCAGAAATTTCGGGTGGTGCAACTAGTTCTTCGACTTCATTATTAATTAGGATTGGACTATATTGATGTATATTCCAATCCGAAGTGTTCTCCTCATCAAAAACAGCATCTCTGCTAGTTACAACCTTCTTTGTCAAGGATTGAATAGCTTGTATGCCTTGGATGTCTCACTAACACCAAGAAAAACACATTTCTCACCTCTATCATCAAGCTTCTTTCTTTTTTGATTTCTGCTGGACATTTGATTTGTGCCCTTTTGAGTAAAAAATTAAGGAATTAAAAATCTAACTTGATATAGGAATAGTTTTTTTTATCTTTCTAAAATCCAATTATACACAATTTGAAAAAGAAGCAGACTTTACCAACCACATTTTCGCAAGTTACAATTATATTATTATAATTTTTCAGACCGGAAGTTAATAATTTACTTTGTATATGTATTGTTCTTTATTCAGTTTGACTATAGCCTTTCATCTTATAAATTTAACATATTGAACGTTGATATTTCAATGAAAGTGTTTTGTATTCATGTGAATTTTACAGTCTTTTTGAAGATTCCTATACATTTAACGTTTTCAGGTTTTAGCTTATCACATAGGTAAATGAAAATATATTTGATCTCTTTTTTAATCAGTCTATAATTGTAAAAAAATGAAAACCCATAAAAATGAAAGTACCGACTAAAATCAAAACCGTAAAAACCAATTTTATGATGCTTTGATTTGGTTTTAAAATTTAATAAACCGACATTATTGATCTAGTTTTTTTTTATGAAAACCTAACCGACCTATATACACCCTTAATCATTATGATTTTTTTAAAGCAAATTTACCATTAGACAGTGTCTCGCGGCCTTTTATTAAACATAAAAATATCAATAGGGATAAGTACAAACAAGGGGGCTAGACCTTACTTACTAATCCTAATGAAGTACCTAACTTCTGCTACCTAACAAGCATGAAGAAAATAAAAGCTAGAGAAAACTAAGTATTTTTTTATCACCACAGAGTTTGTAATACACTCCATGATGATATTACAAACAGGATGCTTAAATAACGTAAAACTATGCCAATCAAGAAGAAAGTTGAGTTATCAGCCTCAAACTTTCTATTACAAAAGCATGAATAAAAAAAGATTGATTGCCCATCATAAATAACTTGAAGTATTTTTCTCTTGTCTTTTTCTTCAAACCTATCCAACAACACTTGATAATTCATACCTTCTTTATGGATTTATTGGATCTTGTTGAACCTATTGATACTGTCAAATGGTTTTGTTTTGGCTGTCGCATCGGTAAGTGCCTTGGAACATACTCCTCAGTCATTTTACCATCCCAACTATGTTGCCTTCCATGTGTCTTTTTTTTCTTTTGTTGCTTCCACTTCTTTGTTGCCTAGGTGATATATCCCCTTCCCTAGCCACTCTATCAAAGCATATGTCCAGCATATTGTCTTCCTCATCTTCATCAAAAGGATCCTCGCCCAAATCAATTGTATTTGACACTAAGGCCCTTGACTCATTCTTCTTTGCAATCACAAATTTAGGAACAAATACGGGAGCTTCTGGACTTAATTTTCTATTCAAAGATGGTGGCGAGACCTGCTTTTCTTGGAACAAATTGTTGTACGTAAACTATACTTGCTTTCAAGTAGTCTTCAATAAAGAATCAAACCTATCCGAGCATAATAGGTCTCTTGAGGCATTACTAATATCCTACCTCTTCTCACTGTCATGAAAATTTCCAGTTGCACCCTTTTCAATACATGGAGAATTATTTTGACTAGTCGGGGAAAAGGTTTGACTACTACATTATGATTAAATAGTTGTCAAGTTTTTAATTTAAAAAATTCTAATGAATAGAGCTGTAACATACCGCCTTAGAAAGAGCTACAAATCGAAAGAACAAATTTGGAACGAGCCAATTTGAGATTTTCGTTAAGTTGTGAGTTTTGGGTCAATTTCAAACGACCATAACTTTCAGTACATAATGAGTTAGGTGGCCTATAAGATATCAAATGAAAGGTCTTAGAATTCTCTTTCCAACGCCACCAAGTTTGCGAAGTTTTGAGTTCGGGTGAGGGAGATATGTTTATTTGAAGTTAGCCTGTCCAATTAAGGAAAGTTACCCAAAAATATGAGGGGTATTTTGGTCTTTTCCTTACCCCTTCAGCTTAAAATGATTTTTGGTATTATTTTGGGGTCAAATCTGATTTTGATCAGTTTTACAAATCCCATCTATGCTTAGGGTTTTGAGAAGAGTTCAAGAGAAGGAGAAAAGAAGAAAAGTCAAGGTGTTCATCAAGTTTTCTTGTGAATCGAAGGTTGTTTCGCCAAGGGTTTAATCCTTAAGAGGTATGTGAGTTATCATAGTGTTGGATTCGTTCACCCACATGCCAATCATGTTATTTTCAGCGCAATTCCATTCTTGAATTTGAAGAATTATAGTTCTTGATGAGTTTTCTTGAAGTTTCATTCGTAATCTTAATTATTGAGGTTTTGATGAATTCTTGAGACAAGTTAGTAGTTTGAGGGTTGTTTTGAGTAGATTATCGTGCACTAATGTTGGGTATTCGAATCTAAGTGAGTTGGGAATAAACCATTTGATTCTAGGCGAATTGGGGTTAGAAAACTAGAAACAAAATTCCTCAGGAAGTTTTGGGCAGGGTTGCGCACCGCGCCACAAAAGTGGTTCTGTAGTTTTGGTCCTGGGTCTCTGCGCCACTCAGTGAGCCCCAAATCCCCTTCAGTAGTTCAGGGGTTGCCGCCCCGCGCCACTCAGTGCACCAGGGTCGCCAGGTCCCCTACTCTTTTAGTTCCCTCAAATTGTACCCATGTATTCTAATTGATCTCTACACTCTAAACTACTTCTAAACATCTAGAAATCATTCATAACATGAATCATAACCTTGAAAGGCTCAGACTTTTTAGATGATTCCTTATTGCTTTTTAGCATAGACTAGTGGATCCACTTAGTTAGTAGGTCCTATACCCCGACAAAGTATAGGACAGTTCTCAAAGCGTGGACTAGATGTTGTATCATCACATAGCTCATAATGATGGTTGTCGGTTAGAGAATCTCCCACAGAGTTATTTTGTATTCTTGCATACAAACTGAGTTATATTGTATTTTCTAATACATTGAGTTATTGTCTAATGCTTTAAAAGCTTTTCTTTATAATGCATATTTTCTACTGCTTTATATTGAAATGAGTTGAGTAACTTTGAGTATCCCTGAGTTGAGTTGAGAAGAGGTAAGTTGTTTCTTCAGTTCCAGTTCAAGCTTATGTCTTGTTTAGATTTCCCCTTGCATGCTCGTACATTCCATAAAAGGTTGACCGAGATCTCGTGTTCTTTCAAGAGTATGAAATTAGAGAGTGTCAATTCTAATATAAGTAACTGTAGTTATTTGTTGAAAAGGAAAAAGAGTAGTGAAGACTCGAATGATGTAAGAAAACACCAAAAATCCACTATATTTTCCTTGAGTGACAATGTTAACAATGATGAGGACGAAAAGGGGATGGCTAGAAAAATTAGGAACAAGGAAAGTGCTCACTTGTCAAGGCAAATAAAGAAGCATTATGTTAAGGAGTTAGAGAAAAAATTTATAATATTTCATTCAACAATTCAACATTTGAATGCAAATTTATCCTATGCAATGGCGGAAAATGTAACTCTAAAGGCACAACTTAGAGGTACTGGTGTACCTGCTCAAGTGTCGCCACCCCCCAAGATTTATCCGTATCCTCCTCCATGGATGTCATATACACCATCTTATATGATGAGCCGACAAGGATCTCAAGTGCCATTAGTTCCCATTCCAAAGTTGAAATCACAGGCACTAGCACCCATGCCAAAAATTAGCAAGAATGTGGAGAAAAAGAAGAGTGAGGTGAAAACAAAGAAGGTTGCTAGTGTTAGCTTCCTTGGTGTGTTGTTCTTCATGATGCTCTTTGGTGGGTTGGTTCCTTTATTAAAACTGAGATATGGAGGTATTACAGAACCATATGTGAGTGGAGAATCTTTTCTGAGTGGATTTTATGTAAAACATCATGGAAGAGTTTTGACAATTGATAGGTCCTGTGAATGAGATAGGTTATTCCCGAAAATACGGTGGAAAAGATCATAGCTCCCATTGTGGCCGGGGAGGTCATGGTGAAAGCAATCAGAAAAATACCAATAAGGCTGCATATAAGTTTGTTCATGTGGGGAATGGTAGTGATCCTTTGGCAGCCTCTCTATATGTCCCAAGGAATGATAAACTTGTTGAGATTGATGGGAACTTGATAATTCAATATATATCGGCAAGTGATAAAGCCATGGCATTTCATGAAAGTGCTGATAAGAAAAATAGAGAGGCCGGCCTCACAGTTCCTGGTGATTTAGCCCCTGTCATCCCAGGAATCCATCCTCGCCTTTATCGAAGTCTTGCAATGGGACAAATCATTCTTGGATCTAAAGAGAAAGAGAATGTAAAATCAAAAATGCAGGAGTGGTACCTTGAAGGTCTTGCCGGTAAGTGTTGTTAATCTAGACTGACTATTAATTCCTATCTTTGTGATATGACTGAGCAGTTTAAGGACTTCATATCATTTAAAATCATGTTTTGCTTTTCTTTTTCCTTTTTTTTTAGTTTAAATGAATTCCTCTAGTGTTTGCTTTGAGAATTTAGGCACTTTTAATTTCTTTGAGTCATAGTATACGCTCTAAGAAAATTCATGTTTTGGAATAGCCTTCTACTTTCCAGTATTTTAATTCATTTTTGTGTTCATTTGGGCAGGATCTTTGTTGAGTTCAGGCATGTGTACAGAAGTGTTCCAGTTTGATGCGTCAGCTTCTGGTAGAGATATATCTATGGAAGAAAGGCAGAATGGCACACCTCCACAGAAATAGAAGGATCCTCAATGGCCCTCCAGTTTCCCTTTCTAGACCCTCTCACAGCATTTCTGAAAAACAAACTGGAACAAATGGAAAGCAAGAGAACTTCAGCAGGAACAAGTCACTTTCTTCCATTGAAGTATCTGTTCTGGTTGATGGTGATGGCATATAGGTTTGAAGTCCCTCTCTCGGATATTCGTTGTTGTGCTTATTGATAGTGTCAAATATGTCACCTATTCTTGCATCCTTCCATTTAAAGGATCTGCTCCTTTAGTGAATGCCCTTGAAGATGGAGTGTTCATGTAGCAGAAGCATGTTTGTCGTCTTCTTTATGTGTCATATGTTTTTGCAATAATAATACATTATCTCTCTTTAATTATCGAAAGAATAAAGCAAACAATTTTTTAAGTTATATGTATTATGTTTGTGCATTCGATATTTACTCAAATTGATAATTGTAGTTGCCAATTCCTTACATTAGCAAATAACCAGAAAACATTTGACTTTCTTCGAAATAATATGACATCTTACCTGGGCAAACCAAAGCTTGGAATGTCGGTGAATTAAGAAAATAAGAGTAGAATGATTATAAAACCACACACCTAGCAGAAAGAGAAAAGAAAGGATAAAAGAAGAGAACACATCCATATAGAGGCACACTCGATGTTGTCGACATAATAACAAAACTCATGAAATAAAAATTGAGGTATTTTCTTAAGTTGTGATTTGTTTTCTTTAGTTGTGTGTTTGTTGTCAGCTTGATCATGACAATAGTGAGCAACTCAACAACAATATAATAGAAACTTCTCACGTAACTTATATGTTTGAAGTCCCTAAACTCTACTTCTCTCTTTTATTGGATGGAGGCAATGTATGGAGCATATTCAATTCCTTAATTAGGTTAGTCATTTGAAAAATCACATCATAAAAATTAGGTGTCATTAATGTATAAAGAAAGATATAGCTGTCGGAATGGAGTTAGCGTGTAACTATAATTTTGAGTGATACCGGAATACAATTGTTCGTTGTCTGTATGGAGTTGCAAATTGTTCTAAATTTCTAGGTCATATCGATATTTCAGTGATCTCTGGAACTCTTACATTGTAATAATGAATTGATTTTCAAATATACTAAATATTGTATTGAGCTATGGAATTTCAAGAGACAAAAAAAATTAAGAGAGCACACTAAACTGAGTACAAAATTTGTGGGGCTTCTAAATGAAAAAATAATACTAAAAATATTCCAGCCAAGGTCTAAGGTATTTTTCTAAAAATCAAGGTTGCAATGATTTCTTATGTCTTCAAAAACTTCTAAAGCAAGGAGATGAAATGATGAAGAGCACGACAAAAATGGAGTTCTATGACATCTTGCAGATTCTGAAGCTTGCTTATGTTGTACTTGTTACTCCCTTGATTTTGTGAATGCTCTTACTTTGTTTTAACGAATTGATTTCCAAATATAGTGAATATTGTGTTGAGCTATAGAATTTCAAGAGATAAAAAAAAGGAATATTCTCTCAATAATTTCGGATCTGAATATAGTTCACACTAATAAATATTCAATTAAGCTTAAATTCTTAACATTTAAATGTATCAACTAAAACTCATGCAATTAGTTGTTGTCCAGTTACATCGACTAAAGCTCGACCAAGTATTGCAATGATGGTTGAACTACTTTGGAATTCTATGAAGTTTGTCACAACCCAAGGGTACCCCCTAGACGTAACAAGGCACATAATACCCCGAAGGTGTCACGCCCCGAGCCTACCTACACCTTGGGCGGAACAAGAACTCGAGAACCATTGCTGACCCCAAGCAAACCCTTTGTCTGGCTTAACACTTAGCGGAAGACTTATTCAACATAACTGTACTTTAAAAAGTAAACTGAAAGTTCAATAATAACTAAGAATGTATTATAAATAAAGATTCACTGGCCAAAGTGGCAACTCAAGTCTCAAACATAACTGAAATGGAAAGGCTCAAGAACTAACATCAACTAACTGTCTACAAAGCCTCTAACAACTGAGATGGACGTCGAGACAAGACCCACGACATCCTAATGAAGCAAGGAGGCTCACCAACAACAATGGAGCTCAACTGGATCAACGATGCGCTGGATGTTGATCCTGATTACCTATAACTACATCATAAAAAGATACTGGCCAAATGGCATCAGTACATTGAATGTACGAGCATGTGAGGGGAAACCTAAAACAATACATAAGCTTGAAAGGAACGGAAAGATCATACTTGGGCTCAACTCAACTCAACTTAACTCATTTTAATATAAAGCAATAATGTAAATGCAATATAAAGAAAAGTTTTTAAAACATGGATAAAAACTTTGTGTATTTAGAAATACAATAATAACTCTGTATGTATGCAAATATACAAATGAACTCTGGATGTATATAAAAATACAATTTACTCAATGTATATAATAATACAAAATACTTTTGTGGGAGTTTCTCTAACCGACAACCATCACTTAAGAGTTATTGTGATGATATAGTGTTTTGCCTCACGCCGCCAGGGCCGTCTTATACCTTCCTGAGGGTATAGAACCTGACTACTAAGTGGATCCACTAGTCTATGCTAAAAAGCACCAAGGAATCATCTAAAAAGTATGACCCTTTTTCTACCCATGGTGGCTACATGGTTTATAGGGGATGGGAGTTGTCTGAACTCTCTCCCATATCGGTGCTCAATACTACTCCCAAAATATGATACTAGCTCTTATGTTTAAAAACATAACTCAGTGATTTGAGATAATTACTCAAAAACTAGCTCGAAGGCTATCTTGGAAATTAGTGTTTCCTCTCTTGCTTAATTGTGAAAGCATTTACTCTTTACAGAAAACTAGCTCAAAGGCTCTTTTGAAAATCTCAATTTCCTTTCTTGTTTAAATGTGAAAACATTTTACACTTTGGGAATACATAGTCCCGATATACTCTTCTGAAGAAATGAACTTCAATCTTTACTCTTTACTCAATTCAAAACTAAGGTCTTAAAACAAAGTAAAAACATTTGTAAAAGACTTGTGAAAGACTATGAACTTCTTTTGACTTCGCTCTTAACTTTACTTGAAATTTAATTTATGGATTCAAGGATTGTGATTTGTGATAGCAAAGAACTCATGATGTTTAGGAGTGTTTTTAGATAGTTAAACATAAGACACGATCAAGAAATCACTGTCTGGAAGCAAGTCCGCGACGTGGAGATTCATTTAATTATTTGGTCGCGAAATAAATTTTGAGGCAGAACGGTCTGTGACCACTCCGCAACGCGGAGAAAATTTTGTTAATCTTGAGGAACAGGCCCACGACGCAAACCTGGTACCCAGATTTGCCAGACTTGTTCCTTCTTCGTTTTCTAACCCCAATTCGCCTAAATTCGATTATTTTCCTCAATTCATCTTTAGATTCTGATACCCAGCACATGTACACAAGCATCAAACTCAGAACAACTCTAACAATCGACCTTAAACTCTCAAGAACTCCTCAATCTCATCCCAAATTCAAGAACGAAAACAATTCAAGAATACAACTCAAGAACATCAAAGTCTCAATCTTTTAGGACGAAAATCATACTGAAATAAACATGTTTGACGCGTGGGTGGACGAACCTAACGCTATGTGAACTAACATACCTCTTTAGGGATCAACCATTGGCGAAACGACTTCAATTCCGCAAGAAAAATCCAAGAACACTTGACTTTTCTCCTCTTTTCTCTTCTTGAGTTCTTTTCTCCAAAAACCCTAGCATAATTTGGTAAAGCGTAAACTGATCTAATTTTGTTTAGACCCCTAAGTAATTACCAAAAATGAATTAAGTTGATTGGGTAGTGAAAAGACCATAATACCCTTCTAAAATCTAGTTTTGACTTTCCTTATTTAGATAGCCCAACTTCAAATGGACATATCTCCCTCAGAACTCAAAATTGAGCAAACTTAGTGGCGTTGGAAAGATAATTCAAAGATATTTCCTACGGTATTTTGTAGCACACCTAACCCATCCTGAGCTAGAAGTTATGGTTGTTTGAAGTTGACCAAAAACTCATACTTAACACAACTTAACCCAACTTAACCAATTTTCCAGATTTTTCATTCTTTCCAAAAACGACCCTTTCTAATTCTAGATCTTTCACTTAGCGAGATGTTACAATATATCCCCCTTGGAAACATTCGTCCTCAAATGAGATTACTCTTAGTAAGTTAAGGGCGTAACATCAAATATTGAATTCAAACACCCAACAATCAAATCTCACATTAAGGATATCAATTAAAGAGTACTATGAAGAGAATTAGTACCTAGATCTGGAATTTCTCCGGGCTCAAAGAGATGTGGATATCTCTTCTTCATATCCTCCTCAGTTTCCCAAGTAGATTCCTCAACAAATTGATTTCTCTAAAGAACATTGACTGATGCTACCTCTTTTGTTGTCAACTTGCAAACTTGGCGATCTAGAATCTGAACATAAATCTCCTCATAATATAATCTATCATTGATACCAATATCTTCAGTTGGTATGATCAATGAAAGATCGCCCATACACTTTTCCAACATTGAGATATGGAACACTGGATGAACTGCTGCTAACTCTTGTGGTAGCTCTAACTCATAAGCTTTATTACCAATTCTCTTGGATATTCTGTAATGGAATATATCGGGGACTAAGTTTTCCCTTCTTACTAAATCTCATAACACCCTTCATGGGTGAAACTTTCAAGTAGACCTAATCATCTATTTCAAACTCTAACTATCTTCTCCTAACATCAGTGTAGGATTTCTGACGACTCTACGCTGTTTTCAACCTCTCTTGAATAACTTTCACCTTCTCCATATCTTGATGAACTAAGTCTGGTCCTATCAACCCAGCTTCACCAACTTCAAACCATCCAATAGGAGAATTGTATCTTCTCCCATAAAGAGCTTCATGTGGAGCCATTTGGATGCTAGAGTGGTAACTATTGTTATAAGCAAATTCAATAAGAGGTAGGTGATCATCCAAATTACCCTTGAAATTAATCACACAATCCCTCAACATATATTCTAAGGTATGAATAGTGCGCTCTGCTTGACTATCTGTCTGAGGATGAATGACAGTACTTAAGTTCACCTTTGACCCCAAGCCTTTCTGGAATGACTTCCAAAACTGTGCAGTAAATTGCGCAGCTCTATCTGAAATAATGGAGATCGAAACTCCATGAAGTCTAACTACTTCTTGAATATACAACTTGTCATAGTCCTCTGCTGAATGGGTAGTCTTTACCGGTAAAAAGTGGGCTGATTTTGTCATTATAT